TATTTTTTTAGTATATCTCGTAGCTAATGCCCCTTTAAAGATACATGAAATAATATATCCATGTTTGATATCTTTTCAGCATGTTAAAGAACGCATTCACCTATTCTTTGTAGTATTTCGTAAGTGACCGGTAAAAAGATATGACCTCAGAACCTTTCATACATGTGTATGCCTTTATCTGGACATTCAATATTTCATACTATCCTTCTATCCTGTTTATTGTATACTTATAAATGGAGGTTATGAATAAATATGTGTAATTTGGACGTAAAGTAAATAACAACAATAAATGTTATCTATCTAGATATAAAATTTCCCCAACGTGTATTTCCTGTTTTTGTTTAGCAAAGATGGTGGAATGCATCGCTGTGTCAAAAATTAGGTTATTTTTAGAATATATTGTTAGGTTACCAATACAAAGGCTATCACGAATAGGCATGATTAATTATAATACCTAGGCGTTTTTCCAGGTATGCTTCAGAATCTCAACGCTTATTGAAATTCAAATACTTTATCTATACTCTTATGAGTATTTTTTACTATTGCCGAATTTTCATGAACCAATCATTTTTTTAGAGCTTTTTCTATAAAAATGGGAATCGTAGATATAAATGTCTTGGTTATAATAAAATTCTTATTTCATGAAAAAACTACACCGATTCTATCAGAAAATGCACTGAAGATGATATTATCAAATTCTGGACTTTTTGATCGACAATATATTTGTTGAGTTTGGATGATTGATATTTCAACAGACAGTCGGGTATTCCATTGGGTACTAATTGTGCATCCCTACTGCCCGATTTGTTTTTGTACTCGTATGAAGAAGAATTAATTCAGAACCTTCTAAAAGACAAAAAGAAAAAGCACCTTGCGAAATTCTTTAATTTTACCTTCAGATATATTGATGATGTCCTATCACTGAATAACCCATATTTCAGTCAGTACTTGCATCTCATATATCCCAGTGAACTTGAAATTAAGAATACTACTGATACTAGATGGACTGATTCATACCTTGACCTTTTCCTCAATATTGACACAGATGGACGACTTCAGACTAAAATCTATGACAAACGGGATGATTTCAACTTCCCTATTATCAATTTCCCATTTCATAGGAGTATGATACCCTCTGCCCTGTCGTATGGTGTTTACATATCTCAATTGATACGTTATGCTTGTGCATGTTTACACTATACGGACTTAATATACAGGAGTGTGCTCCTTACGCAGAAACTGCTCCAACAGAGTTATGAGGAGTAAAGATTAAAAATGACACTCCGTAAATTTTATGGACACCATCACGAATTAATAGATCTATACGATGTGTCTGTGTCTAAACTAACTAACGACATTTTTACCACGTCTTAGATTTTGGTTTACCATCTACGTCTTCTGGTCTGCTTAGTACCGAACGTGACCTATTCCCGAATATGACTGTTTTGCAGAGGTTTGGCTAGCCATAAAACCAGGTTCAACCCACCATTTTTTCTTAAAACGTCCTGTACCAAGTCAGGAATATGGCAGTTGTTAACTACAGTCCGTTTCTATGTTTGCTGGCGTTTGCTTTTGTTGTAGTTCGGTGTTTCTGTTGTTTCGTTGTTTTACTCTTTGTTGATGTGTTTCCCTCGGTTTTAGTTTGTTACCCGGATTTAGTTTTGCTTAATCGAATTGTGACTATTGAACAGCGGTATACTACTGTTGCCTTTATTTAGAAAAGTAGCAAGATTAATCTGTTTAATCTTTTTACAATTCCGATGAAAAACGTAATTTTTGGAAAATTATTAGAATAGTAAACTGTATTGGGTCAGAGAAGAAGATCACTATATCCTTCAAACATTATCTTAGCAACATTTATAAACTATATGTACTTAAACGTAATCCTATTAATATTGCTAAGTAAAGAACTTTAATCCCATTTATCAAAAATCTTCTTACGATATTAATATAGAACACAGTGAACGTATTTTTGTCTCGATAATTACCATTGTACAAATATTTTATAGATTTTCATTTTGAAAATGTTTTATGAGTTTTACAGATAGGATTTGAGATATAAAATAAGGATTTTATGAATGTTTAATTATTGGTTCTTTACGCCCAAGTAGTAAAAATAGGTAAATTGATATAAAATGAAAATGAACAACAAAGGGGTGCATGGATCAAATACAAAAGGGAGAATATTGACTGCTTCGCGAAATACATGAAAATATAGGAATTTTTGGAATATTTAGCCTCAGAAACAAGCCTTTTCTTAACAGATGATGCTGAATGGGTCTTTTTCTTGCTAGGGGCGTAGAACTTTCCAAAACTGGATTCACTATTTTGTCCCTCACGGAGGACAGATTGTGTAATTGGTAAATATAGAATAATCATGGACGATCTTTGTGGTTGGTTATACCTCTCTGCTTGAGAAACTGGGAGCAGGCTGTATATGAGGATTTCATGATTAATGTCGTTAATGTCATAGTTTTACGTAAAAACAATGATGTAGCAGTGAACGGGTATAACAATGGAGCGTGTAATATATTGTTTCCTTATTTGTCATTTAAATGGCTTTCTAGAAGTTCTTGATTTGACGCCTCATGTGCAGACAAAGCGAATTATTGCTACATTAAACTAGAGGCTCTAAAGAGCCTGTGTCGCTCACCTAAGTCTAACTGCATAATCAACAATGGACTCTCTCCAACTTTGTAGACAAGAATAGAGTTCATGACAAAAATTTCTTTTTTGTTGATCTTGTACTGCTGATCATTTTGTCTGTTTAGTTTCTCTCTATCTTCTTTAGTTTTTGCTCAAAATACAAAAGAGGGTAAAAATATCCTCATTTAAAGGCATTCACTCCCATGAAGAGTGACAGTCTACTAACTATATCTGTAAAATGTAACTTGTTTGTGGATCTTGCTTTGCTGATCATTTTTGTTATTTAAAGGCAAAATGCAAATAAATTGTAAAAATCGTCATTAAACGGCAATAACTCCAATAAGGAGTCGTCGGAAAATTTTCTCCATATAGTTTTAAATGTAGATCTTGTCTTCCTGATAATTTTTGTTAATTTGAGAATTTATCTCTATATATTATATTTTTTTAAGATATAAGGCAAAAACACAAAAAAATGGGTAAAAATTGTCATCAAAGGGCAATAACTCTAAATAGGAGTCGACTGATGATTTCAACAATGCATACTCATTCGTAGATCTTGTCTTGCTGATCATTTTTGCAACTTAAAGTTACTTTCAATCTATGATAGTTTTGAAGATAAAAGGCAAAAATAAAAAAAATGGTAATATTTGTCATTTAGGGGCAATAACGACGGACGACGGACGCTTAGTGTTGAGAAAAGCTCACTTGGCCATTTAGGCCAGGTGAGCTAAAAATATTTGGTTGATTTAGAAAAAAGGAGCCTTCCAAAATTTTGAAAAGTACTAGACTTGGAGAAAATATTTGATAATATCTTATATGTCCCTCAAATATATCTGATTTGTTCCTGAAATTGTCTGTTTTGTCTGACTATAGGTGACATAATGCCTGTTAGGTGGTTATTAAAAAGGACTGCTGGTTAAAGGTTGGGTGTTATGATTTCCTTGCATACTATCCACATCTATCTTTAAAGAAATCAAACTTTGACACAGCCTTTTCACTGGACACTTTGTCTTGTGACATGTGTAAGTTTTCCGTTACTTCCAGTTTTATGTTTTCAACAGTGTTTCTTGATTTGTATTTGCATGAAATGATTTTGTTCTGGTCGATATTAATAAAACAATTAACAAAAATTACCCGATGACAACTAGAAGACAACAGGCATTCTACACATATAAACAGTTCGTTTAAGTAATATGTCAAAAAGTAAAATAACAAAAATACCGAACTCCAAGGAAAATTCAAAACGAAAAGTCCCTTTGCAAAGGCTCAAACATATCAAACGAATAGAAAACAACTGTCATATTCCTGACTTTGTACAGGCATTTCCCTTTGTAGAAAATGGTGGATTAAACCTGGTTTTATAGCTACTTAAACCTCTCATTTGTATGACAATCATATAAAATTCCATTATATTGACAACAATGTGTGAACAAAACAAACAGACATAATAGGTAAAAATGTCAAAAATAGAGAAATGATATAAAAGGGGCAATCAAAAGTCCAATAAAAATATCTTAGTCAAAAAGAAGATCGACGATAAGACAAACAACAATAACAAAGCATTACACATAAAGATTGAGCAACATAAACCCATCCACAAAACCGGAGGTGAAAGTGAATTCCTGCTCTAGTAGAGGCGCCTGTCGAGTAACCTATTCCAATTAAAAGTACAGTGTCCCGAATTTATAAGAGTTATGAATAAATTAATCAGAAACAATAAAGGCTTGTCTTTTACATGAAATTTTTATTGTATCGTGATAGGTATTTATTATCAATTACTTATCATTTATGTTTTGTATTCACTTTGATGAATTCTGCAAAACCAGCAGGTTGTTGATTAAAGATCTATGTGGATATTAATGAGTGTGTTTACCAGTCGTTATTCGTGTGTCTTTGTTTAATATTCAATATGTGATTGTCATTAGGGAAATGAATATGTTATTTAGCAAATGATATTTGTTTCTTCTCCACATTTTAGTATGATATTAGCCTTATCTCTTGTTTTTCTTCACATCTAAATATGCTTGATGTCAAAATCTTGGACTAGGTTACGGTAAGGTAGGCGAATATATATTGTACTGTATGCATGAGAATAAGACATGTGGTTACTGTAGTCCTTTTGTCTATGGTTAATATTTTTTTTCATCGACAATCAAACAAGATGTCTTTTTGTTGTATATAGAACGTGCGGAAAATGGTTATGTCTATAACTAATATACTAATAATAGACTAATACACTATATATATATATATATATAAAACAAGTCTAAAAGGGTACAACATCACAAAAAAATAATTAAATCAAATCATGAACAAATCATGAACAAATTTTAACTAATTTTAAATATATATACCTTCACTCAGGAATGTTGTTCGAACTCGCAAACGAGAACAAAGTAATTACTACATCGAGGAAAACTAAATCACAAAGTTACCGATTGAATGAACTCACGTAGCCAATAAGAACATTAAAGATTGATATTAGGTTTCTTTGTTGTATATATAATTATAGTATTATCTACACAATAATTAATGGTACGGAATCAACTGACAGTTTAATTGAATAACAAATCTCATGATAAATGAAGAAGTAAACTACGTCTGACAGTACATAATTATATGGAAATAAGACATCAAAGGTCAGTCACAGAACAGTTATAAGGACAACAGTTTTATATGCCCAGAAATTAGTGTTTCTGATAAGCTGGACCGTAATATGGCATTGCATGGATACAAAAAGTATGGGTAACGAGTTGATAAACAATAGCTTGATATGATATAACAAAAACAATATAACAGAAAAAGGCATTCTATTGGTGTAGAATACATGTACAAGGATTAAAGATTGTTACTAAGAAAAAAGCAAATACAATATGCACATTTGTCTGTTTATGAATTATAAATTATAAAGAAACTAAGGTTTCAACTCCCGCAGGCAAAATTGACCTTAGATGAATTTGGCTATTATTCTTAAGTCCTGTTAGCTCTTCATTTGTTTCGGTTCTTATACGTCCTTTGCTTTCAAATGCATGTATTATGCTTTGCTGATGAAGGTCATACAGAAATTCGCTTCGGATGAAATTGATAAAATGTTGTTTTCATTTTCTAATACATTTTATTCTCAATTGTGAAATGAAATGTACTGAAAAGGTTCTGACCTCATTATCAATAACTCTTATTATGCAATCTAATAGACGTATTTACACTTGTATGTAAATTTGTTCGCCATTACGTAAAATCACACATGTTCCCGTAAACTTTTACATCATAATTCAAAACATTTGACGTCACAATTAAAAAGTGATTGTTGCCTGACGTCAAAAGGTGATTCGGAGTAGATCTAAGGTCATTCAGAGGCAAAATATAGCTAAATACCAAAAGTGTAAATACGTTTATAATCCTAATCAACAGAAAAATTGAGGAGCTGCATAAACAGTGTTTTGACAATTGGGTTTGCAACCTTGCTCTCCATTTAGGGATATTTGTTAACAAATCAATCACTAGTAAATGATTTTTAGTTTGAAACGGTTATTTTGATCTTAAAATCATTTGAAAAGTCGGAACAATAAATTATCATAAACGTATTTAATATAAAATGTCAATATTTTCTTCTGTTATGTTGTTGTGTTAGTCCTGGTTTCTATACTCTCCTCCTTTTCTTTAAATTTGGCGTCGATGGTTGGTCTTTGATAGTTTCAATTATTTACGTCTTTTTCGATTTGGACGGATTGATATATTGCTTGGACAACTTTAATTTGTTTAAAACTGTATATTGACCTCCACATGTCTTTGTTTATTTGTGTCGTTAAATTGCTGTCTCTTTGACGTCTTCTCCTTTATAAGACCATTCGTTCTTTTCCTGATTAAAAAACACTAAGTTTTGTTCTGTTATAGGGCTACTAAGGGGTCATGATGACATATTAATGCATTGCTTATAGAAAAAAAATCAAACGTAGGAAGAATTTCTACAATGGCAGAAATATCATCATTTGAAATGGAACCTCACAAATTCCGGTCGTAACGCTTGAAAACCTTTGAAAATAATTTCCATTAAAATATCAAATTCAAGAGGAGAGACATAACACTATGAACAATATCCGAAAAAGATAAATTCTCTGATTTGCGCCTTTAAATGTGCAACTAAAACAATCATCATTAAATATCTAGCATTCTGAATGCTTTATTCAAAGATGGAATTGAAAACACTTCTCGTATAACATGTATAATTGCATAGAGTTAATTAAAATCACAAATACCACATAATTACAAAACAGAATCCTTCATTGGATCTTTCACTGCAACCTTGTGTTTTACGACTGGATAACAGACGCCTCAAGTATTCTAAATGATTACTCGTCTTCATTGCAAGTATATTTTAGGTTAAATTGTCCATAGATTATATTTGATTGTAACTAACAATATGCAATATTTAATAATAATTCCATGCACCAGACTAACGACAAGTATGTCTATTTGCAACAGAAAACCTCGTCAACTAATTTATTAGATTCTAATTTAATTGAACCGTTTGCTTCTTAAAGTTTTTGGTAGTCATATAGGCCCTATTCCCCATCTTTCACAAACATACACCGTAAACCCAACAATAAAAATATAATTCCCTATTTCACTGTTTTAGAGGGCTTTGACAATGAATTCATTTCCATTTCAGTCAAATTTAACACCAAATGTGTGGTACAATTTTGAGAGCATCACAACCAGGCATTTAAATACAAAAATACAGTACAAGATCAAAACACCCTTTATATTACATATAACAAAAACACAGTACAAGATCAAAACACCCTTTATTATACAAATTACGCAGGCAAGAAATGTTATTCCTACAAACACCCCTAAGAAAACAAATTATTCCGGCTAAATATCCGTTACAATATGCATCACACAGGATAATGACCCATTACAATGCAAATTACACAGGGCAAGGCCCATTACAATACAAATAACACTGGACAAGTTCCATCACACAGGACAAGTTCCATCACACAGGTCAAGTTCCATCACACAGGACAAGATTTTTCTTTATGCTGATCTGTTTACCGACTTTAAAATAATCATTTTTAATTTCTTTTTGTTTTGATGTGCCACAAAGATAAACTTTGAATTTACGACTGGTGTTTTTTCTAAAGTTTCCAGTAAACTTTTTAACGTTTTTGACGAAGAATCCCTTTGAAAAAGTAATTTGCCTTGGTGATTTGGGTTTTTTTACAAACCGACACATTACGTTTCATCTATTTGTTACGTCTGGAAATATGCATTTAATGGAAATGAGGTTTGTAATTGTAAGATAACACAATTCTAGTAACATTCAACGTTTGAAAAGGCAATTTGAAACTTGTATTGTCCGACTAAATATAGGAAACAGAACAATCATCAAATGATGTTTCCCATTAATTTGCAGAAATCTAACCATTATGAAATATTTATTATGTTGGCTGCAGACGTATTTTAATGTGTAAAAAATAAATTGTATGACCTTTTACGAATCAGTTGAATCTGGAAAACCCTGAACCGTGATGGTTATCTCACATTGTTTAGTATAGTTATATGTACGTTCGAGCGACTGTAAAGATTAATAAATACTATAGGAAAGAAGACCTTTTTCGTTGCCTTGTTGTTTATTGTAGTCTGTCCATACGATGCCTTTTATTCAATATTTATTTTACTGAAAAAAGAATGTAGTACAATTCTACTAAAACACAATTTTTGTCGTTGTTGGCATTAGAATAAGACAGCTGAACTCTTTTATACTTTCATAAAAAGGAAAATACGACATCTGAAAAGACGAAAGGGATACTAATCGATTGGTTATGAGACAACACGTTATCGAAATACTGGGAATATAACATAATATACCAAACGCATAAATTTTTTTTCCTGTAAATGTAGACCATTATTATAATATTAGTGGTAGAATCCTAATGAATTCTATCGTTGCTCATAGCCCATATATCTTTTCTGCATGGTATAATAAAGAAGTTCGTCCGAATCGCTTTTCTGGATTTTTGTTCATCAGGAATGCTCAAAATTTGTAAAATAAGGGAATTATCTGGAATGCTGTACTTATCACTAACAAGTCTTGGATGAGTTAGAATCACATTAACGGTCCCAATTTGTCTGCACCAGATGCGCATTTCGATATTAAATGTCTCTTCGGTGATGAAAATCCAAAGCTTATTAAAAATGAAGAGCTTATAAACAAAACAAAAAACAAAAAAGTGGAGGTGTGAGCTTTTCCTAATTAAGGTCGGATTTGAAATGTTTGAGATGCAAAGCACTGTTTCTTGAAGCATGTACGAATTTGTGTAATGAATAGAGTACCTCATACCCTTTCTTTTCCATTATATAAGCAATCTGCATGGTGGATAATTCGGTGGCTTTAAACAAATTTTAAAACTTTAAAATGGTATAATTACGGCATAACATTGTAAATCACAATTCTTCCTATTTGAAATGTAAATATTTAAAAGGCTGAAAGTAAACTGACCAACCTAACAAATCACCACATGACAAACCTTACGGTGTATAAAAGTTAAAAAGTCTACAAATATTACGTCAGCACTTACTAAATTTTCTTAAAATGGATATTAAAGCAGACGAATAACTTTTACCAGTGTAGGATTTTGAAATGATTCATTGTGCTCTTTTCCTATTTAAAGCTCGTTAAAGAGATGAAGGACATTTTAATGTTAGAAATTTTACTTATTGATTTTACCATTATAGTTAGAGAAAGTACATTTGTTTCCGGGATTTATTTAAAATCAATGCTTCATGGGAATTTTAATACTTTGAAACCATTAAACTGGTGGAATAAATCCATCTATATTTATTGTAATTGACAAGTGATTGATGATGAAACATAAAGCATTTTAAATATCTCGGTAGATTTTCTTTTACGTTCTTCAAAGAGTATATCATGTGATTCAAATAAAAGTTGAAGAGCATTATAGACCCAACATTCTGAAAGGGTTTGCCAAATACAGCTACGGTAATACATTCCTGGGGTAGAAAATCCTTTGCATTTCGAAGAATTCAAAGATTTGTACACAGTTAATTTTTAATTATGACCATATCAAAATTATGATAGCCTTGTTACATCAACCTCTAAAGGGGAAGAAGAAACAAGGGGCTATTCTAATCTATATCTCAACAAAAGACAGAAAAAAATAAAAGACGAACAAAAAACATTCGACAATATAGTATACAGAAAAATACCTGGATAACCTCATGTGTTAACGAATGTGAAGTAGATACTGATCCATTAATGACACCTTTTGTGTTGAATATCTGGCAAAAAGGTGCATTCGTTTATATAATAAAGGGGCACGATATGATAGACAGTGCTGTGTCTACTTCAGACCAATATGTCCGTGACAGTCTGTGACATATATATCGCTTGAAGGTCAACCGAAT